TGTTGTTACGTGCCTTCGAGTCGCTTGCAACTCATAGCGACCCTATGTACAAGAGCCCTAAACCCTGCTCTATCCTGTGCCAATAGCACTGCCTCTGACACACCCATCCCGATTACCCCAGTCATTGAATCATTCCACCTCATAGAGAGTCTTACCCTCCTACGCCGTCCCTCCACCCTCCCAAGCATGATGTCCCTCTCCAAGGACCTGTCCCTCCTTACAACATGTCCAAAGTATGTCAGATGAAGCCCCAGAATCCTTGCCTCCAAGGAGCAGCCCGGTTTAACCCTCTCCAGGATGAATCTGTTTGTTTTCTTGGCAGTCATTTATTTAATACTCTTCTCCAGCACCACAGCTCAAAGGTATCAATTCTCCTTCTATCCTCCCTAGTCATTGTCCAACTCTCCGATGCCTAACAAGTGATTGCAAAGACCATGGCCTGCATCAGACATACCTTAGTCTCCAGAGTGACACCATTTAAGCACATAGTATCATCTAAAGTAGGGAGCTCTGAGGGAGCTCTGGTGGCCTAGTGGCAAGAAGCTGCACTGCAATCGCAGAGGTATGCAGTTCAAATCCACCAGATGCTCTGCTGGAGAAGGAGGGGCAATCTCCTCCTGTACCAGTCAGATCTGATTTGATGGTACACACACACACACACACACACACACACACAATAATAATAAAGTAGGGAGCTCTGGTAGCTTAGTAAGGTAGGCAATTCGAATCCACTAGCCGCTCCATGGAAGACGGATAGGCAATCTTCTCCAGTGTAATTTGCAGGCTTTGAAAACCTACTAGGGGCTCAGCTATGAGTTTGTTTTGATTCATAGGGGCACAATAACAACACTCTTATGAAATACTTGTACACTGATGAATTGTCTAGCAATTGTGACTCTGTGGATTCCTTCCATCTTCTCACCCCCCTCTTATCTTCTTTTAACATTAGGATTGGAGAGCAAGCTGAGATAAGAAGTAAAGAGTACCCATCAACAAATGAATGGATAGAGAAGCTGTGATATATTCACACAATGGAATACTACGCTGAAGTGAAAAACAAGGAACTCATGCAATATTATTCAAAATGAGTGACCCTGGAGGATATTATGCTGAGTGAAATATCTCAGTCACAAAAGGACAAATACTGCATGGTGTCATTGTTGTAAAACAGGACTGACCTCGGGGTTAGGGGGAGACTGAGAAAGATGGGATAAATAATGTATACTGCATTGAAACAGTTGAGGGAGAAAACTCTTTAAAAAGGATATGTGATTAGGTATTTTTGTCATGACAGGAGTGCAGAGCGAAGGCTGCATAGTGAAGTGGACCTGGGGGGAGGGATTGTAAAACAATGAAAGAAATGTTCTTTTACTTTTCCAAGAGGGTAGTGTACTGGGGGGAGAGTTGGGAGGGGAGAAAAGTGCAACAATGAATGAATGGAAATCCAAAGTCTCTGTAAATTTTCATTGAAATTAATAATAAATTTAAAAAAGAAAAAGAAAAAGAAAAAAAAGAAGTAAAGAATATTTGAGCCACTTACAGATGAAGATAAAAAAACTACAGCTTTCAAGACTGATTGTACGTCAACATCAAGAAAACAATCTCACAAATGGACCAATATGCAACATGGTGTGAATGGAGAAAATACTAAGTCCACAATCCGTGTCTAAGAGGAAGCATAAATCAAACTAGCAAGCATTGTATTACATTGGACAAATCTACTACGAAAGATCCCTTCAAAGTTGTAAAAAGCAAAGATTAAGAAGTAAGGTGCATGTGATTGTGATTCAAGTAATGAAATATTCAATAGGTTCATATACATATGCATATACAAAAGCTGGACAATGAATTGGAGAGAGAAAAGAAAAAGCAATGGCTTTGTATCCCAATGTTGGTAAGGAATATAGACTGTATCATGGACTGCCGAAAGAACAAAGAAATCTATCTTGGAAATACAGCCAGAAGAATGTTCTTTAAATGTAAGAATGGTGATACTTATCACACTCACTTTGAATATGTTATCAGAGGGTCCAATCCCTGGACTGAGATATGGACTTTCAATGAGATGGATTGATACAGTGGTGGCGATAATAGATGCAAAAAGCAAAGACAGTGAGCATAGCATAGAACTGGGTAGAATTGCCTTCCACTGTACATAGGATCACCATGTAGGTGCCCACCCATTGGAAGGCACCTAACACAAAAACAATTGTGCTAGGCACAGTGGCAACGCAAAAAAGATGCATGCACAGGTTTGCATTTGGAGAACAGAAAAGCCAAGTATCCCTAGAGCAAGATGCATCTATCACTCCCATTTGTTTATTTGTTCCTTAGAGGAGATAAAGGAGAAGTCCAGGGTTGAGCCATCATGTGGACCCTGGTCTGGTTGAGGTTCTCTGAGCACAGGGCCTGGGGAGGGGTGTTAGGACCTGCATGACTTTGTGGACTGTAAGAAGCAGCAAGCAGAGAGTGCAGGGGAGGGACTGCTCTGAGGAGGTCTCTGTGTGAGAGTGAGGATCAATGGTTCTGAATGAGTCCAGAGGAGGTAGGCCCAGGGAGGAAAGCCTGGTGCCAGCCAGATGAACCTTCTCCACCACTTGAAAATGGATCTTCAGAATCAGCATTTAGATCCCTCTGTGTTATCTGTTGGACTGTGAGATGAGGGTGAAGCTGCAAATATGGTCATAGATTCAGCAAAAAAATAAACACCCCTGGTGGCCTCACATTGAGAAGCTGTGCTGAATTCGCCAGCTGCTCCTTGGATAGAAGGATAGACAGTCTCCTCCTGTGGGATTCACTGCCTCTGAAAATGCACTGGAGGGACAGCTATGGACTGGCTCCAAATCGATGAGACACAACAATGGTGGATTCAAACCGTGAGCCTTTAAGAGTGCAGCACTGCTTCTTACCAATAGGCCACCAGAGCTTACCTGGTAATGTAGAGAGAGGGTCAGTGAAAAAGAAGATTCTCAGTGAGATAAATTGACAGTGGCTGCAACAATGAGCTTGAATTTAGCAGATGATAGAGGACACGGGAGTGTTTCTTTCTGTTGTACAGAGTTGCTATGAGTTCCAATCAACTAGCCATAACTACAATATACATTATATATTACATATATGTGTTTATGTATGAGCATATCTTATATGTATGACTTAGAAGTATCTCTGGTGCCTTGGGACAAGGGGTTGTGCTGCCAACTCAAAGGCAGGCAGTTTGAATTCACCAGCAACTTTGTGGGAGAAAAATGGTCAATCTTCTCCTATGCAATTGAAAGGTTAGAGGTGAGAACCCATCAACAGCTTCACTCAGTAGGAAAAAATATTTCCCCCCCCATAAATATTACACAATCTGCACTTCTGTGGCTCTATTTTATGGCAAACAATAGACAGGCCTGCACCAAAAGAGGTAGGAACTTCTTAGAACCATCAACGGAATAAGACCAAAAGAGCAATGGTTTCCTTGAGACAAAATTCAGAAAGCAGGAAGAGATAGGAAAGAAGTAATAACAAAGCCAGTTAATACAGAGAGGAAATGAGAGGAGTGCTATTTCATTGCGGAGATTGCAATCAAACCTCAAAACAAAATGTGTCTGACTTGTTGAATGGGAAGTCCATTTGTTCCGTGAACTTTTATCCAAATCACAATACAATATTGCAGCCTGGCAAACCTGACGAGTTAGTTCTACTTTCACGTACAGTGACTATGAGTAGGAATGAACTAAATGGTAGTGAGCTTGGATTTATTTGCGTACACAAATAAATGCAGGACTTAAAAGTTCATGCAGTTTTGTTTTGTTTTCCTTGTTGGGTACCATCAAATCAGACCGACTGTCACAGGAGGAGCATTTGCGCGCCTTTGGTATTGCAGTGCAGCTTCTTGCCAGGAGCCCACCAGAGCTCCCTTGAAGTTCGTGCAGTTTTTGTAAAAGCGCTTTTGAGTTTCAGTTAGGTTCTAAGAAGGATTTTTGTGGATCTAAGCAACGTTATAAGGGTCTTTTAAGATTTATATCCTTGAAATTTAGCAAGGGCTAGGATTGGATGTGATTTATTCCAGATATAAGGAGTTTCCTAGGCAAACCACACTTGCTTTCTTTGAGTATTTTGATCTGGCTTTGTTGACAATTTTTTTCTCGCTGTAGTGAGTCAGATGGCTCATTTAGGAGAGCAAAATTTTAAAAAAAAAAAAACAAACCACCCCAAAATAAAATATATGCAAGAATTAACTAATTCTCGGCCAGTGAATGTCTTCTGGCTCATAGCGACCCTCTGTTGCGTTTCAAAAGCTGTGTAAATCGCAAGGGTAAGAGATTGTCTCTCTCCAGGAGTTGCTGCTGGACTTGAACAGCGAGACGCACAGACTCTGTATTAGCAGCGCAAATCTCTATCGTTTGTCTATGCCAGGAGACCAAGCAGTTAAGTTTTTAATTTCACTTGATCTTAGCCAAAAGGCCGAGAAGCGATAAGTTTTTAATTTTAGATAAACGAATAATTTTACCGTGTCATATTCTGCAACACGCCTATACTATATACGTTTTAATTGCTAACGGGAAATCCAATTTTAATTGGACATTCTGCATTTTATCTGGCAGCTTCTACTAGACGGGTCCTGGGACTTTCTATTCTTTGAAGTATGGCTCAGAAATTCCAGATCAGGAGAAATGTGCGCAGGCTCGTTTAAGGCTCAGGGACACCCGGGCTGCTGTGTACTACAAGCCCCACAATGCCGAGCGTCCTCCCGGCACCCTGATTGGCTACGCTCGCTTCCCGCCTTCCCCGGGTTTCCGGCCGTGGGCCCGGCGCGCGCCGGTTATTCACGGCTGTGGATCCTCTGGACACCAGGGCGGAGCGAAGACCGGGGGCTGGACTTGGGCCGAGGCGGGCCGGCGGGCTTGCAGGTGCGAGTCCGGTCCATGCACAGCCTCGGCCCGCCGACAGCGCTCCAAAGGAGCTGAGCTTGTCGCCCGCGGCTACAGAGGCGGGACCCGTGTCCTCGGGCCCTCGGGCGGCAGTTAACCATGAACTTCTCCGAAGTCTTCAAGCTGTCCAGCCTGCTCTGCAAGTTCTCTCCGGACGGGAAGTATCTGGTGAGAACCGGGATCCAGTGCCCGGGAGGCCAGGCCGCGGCTTCGGCAGCATGGGGCTAAGCGTTGAAGGGGCGATGGCGGGCGCGTCTCCAAGCGGCTGAGATTCGCTGGGGTTGGAGGCAGGCGCGGGTGTGTGTGTGTGTCTGGATGCGAATCCCTCCTGACACCCACCATCTGCGGGACCCAGACCTCCACCCCGGCCTCGCTGCCCCTGCAGGCCCCTGCATACAAGGCGGGTAACAGCAGTGGGCTGCCTCGACTACCACTTTGCGGAGCTTAGGCGAGGTCGCGCCGGGGTAGCGAGCGGGCAGGAGCGTGTTGGGAGAAGCAAATGCATAATCCCCGCTAGTGTGCAACCTGGACAATGGTGCAGCTACTTTCTATTTTCTTTTCCAACTCTCCTTTCCCACTTCCCCCCCAACGTGTGGAGTAAAAGATATAAACTACGAGCATTCTACACGGGGTCTACGTGGGAGCTGCTCGAACCCCTAAACAATGGCGCTTTGAGCACACTCAGAGGTTCCTCGGGAGGAAGACCTAGGTGTCCGCTCCCCTGAAGACTGCAATCCAGAAACCCACGGAGCACTTCTGCTCTATCGTGGGGTCGCCGTGAAATGAAAATCTACTCCCAGGCATCAGTAACAATCTCTCCTTACAGAACTGTGCATTCTGTGGGGGGTAGATTGGTGCTTAAGTTGCCCAGCTGTTCTGAACAGGAGCTTTTAAATAAGCCCTTGTGGTTCGTGTATATCCTCAGAATGTGGGACAGTAGGATTGGCATTAAGCAAAAAAAGAAAAATGAAGCCTTTCCGGCAAGGTATTTCTGTTTATGAGCTACCGTGTCATGACTTCATCTCAGACTTGATTAACGTGTTAATTGTCCTTGTCTAGTCTTTGAAAATAATTACCGTCTTTACCTTCTTTATAGAAGTAGTAGACATATTACATAAGCTAGTTGTTGTGTGCCAGTTAGAACTAACCATAGCTGATTCTCCAGTGGGATTTCGGAGGCAGTATAAATTCTTTGGGGTGGGGGTAGGAGGAGATTGCATATCCTTCAGCCACAAAAGAGAAAATGCTATTAATTCAAATGATACCCCAATAACCCTGGTTAATTTTCTAAAATGTCCACTTTAAAATGTTTAGTTGGCAGTGAATGAATGAAAATTCAACTTTTCTGTAAACTTTCGTTAAAATGGCAACTTTCTTCAAAAGAAGAACATAACAAAAAATTTGTTTAGTTGGAGTTTTCTTAACCATTTATGAAAACACCAGTAAAGTACAAAGAGAAAGGTTATGTTTGCATGCTTCATTTTGGCACTTTTTGCTTCACTATTGCTGTTGGGGTTAGGTGCTGTAGAGTGAATAGGACTCATAGCAACTCTGTGAACAACAGGTCTGAACTCTGTCCTATCTTCATCATCCCTGACATTTTTTGAGGTCATTACTACAGTCTGTGTGAGTCCATCTCATTGTGGATCTTCCTCTCTTTGACTGACCCTCCACTTTTTCAAGCATGATGTCCCTTTCCAAGGAATAACCTCTCCAGGCAGTATACCCAAAATATGTGAGACGAAGCTTTGTCATCCATGCCTCAAAGAAGCACTCTGACTGTACTTCTAAGACATACCTGTTTGTTTTACTCTTCAACATCTTGACTCAAAGGGATCAATTCTTCTGTCATTCTTATTCATTGATGATACCATGGCCTAAATCAGGCACACCTTGGTCTTTAAACCGACAACATTGCTCCTCAGGACTTTGGAGATGTCCCTGACAGCAGACTTTCACCATTCAATACATTTTTTAATTTCTTGGCTGATGGCTAAAGGGATTTGGGGTCCAAATAAGAGGAAATTATTGACATTTTCAATATTTTCTCTATAATGATGTAGCCTATGCATCCAATGGTGAGAATTTTTTTAATTTATTTTTTTATTGAGATTTTAATGAAAGTTTACAAAGAACTCCATTCACTCATTGTTGCACATTTTCCACCTTGCCCCCATTCCCCAGTTTGCATTTTTCTTTGGGAAAAAAAATTTCTTTCATTATTATAAAGTCCTGTCCCGTCTGTCCCCTGACCACTTCTGTGCAGCTCTTATTCTGGACTCTTGTCAGATACACTCCTGCAAGCATGGCTTTCTTATTTGGGTGAGCTTCCATTCTGTAACTGTTGGGTTTTTGTTTTTTACTTTTTAGTTTTTTTATGTTATTTTTAAACCTTTTTTTATTTATTAATTTTAATGAAAGTTTACAGAGACTTTGGGTTTCCAGTCATTTGTTGTTGCACTTTTCTCCCTACACAGCCCCTCCCCTCAATTCACTCTTCTCCTTTAAAAGAAAGAAAAACTCTTTCATTGTTATACAGTCTCTCCCCCCTAAGTCTACTCCACTATGCAGCCTTCACTCTGGACTTCTGTAATGACAAGAATACCCATTCATAGACCCCTTTTAAACAGTTCTCTCCCTCATCTATTTTAATGCAGTATACATCATTCCTCCCCTCCTTTTCTGTCTTACCTCAACTCTGATATCAATTCCATTTTACAACAGTGGCCCTATGCAATATTTGTCTTTTTGTATTTCACTCAGCATAATGTCCTCCATGGTCACCCATTTTGTATAATATTTCATGAGTTCTTTGTTTTTCAGTGCTGCATTATATTTCACTGTGTGAATATACCACAGCTTCCCTATCCATTTGTTTGTTGATGGGCACTTGGGTTGTTTCCAGCTCTTTGCTATTGTGAACAAAACAGCAATAAACATGGGTGTGCATATATCTGTTTGGGTGATAGTTCTGGTTTCTTTAGGGTATATTCCCAATAGTGGAATTGCTGAGTCAAATGGTATTTCTGTTTCCAACTTTTTAAGCAAGCGCCATACTGCCTTCCACAGTGGTTGCACCATTTTACACTCCCACCAACAGTGACTGAGGGTTCCAGTTTCTCCACGATCTTGCCAACATTTGTTGTTTGCTGCTCTTTTAAATATTGCTATTCTTACTGGGGTGAAGCGTTTGCTGTAGAAGGTCAAGAACTGCAGCCTTCGATATGGATTGAAGCTCAACATAAAGAAAACAAATATTCTCACCACTAGGCCCATTGGCAGCAGCATGATGGATGATGAAGAGATTGAGATTGTTGACAGCTTCAGTTTGCTTGGCTCTACAAACAACAACACTCTTGGTACCAGCAGCCAGGAAATTAACACAAATGGCATTGGGAAAGTCTGCTGTCAGAGATCTCTCCAGAGTACTGAAGAGTTACGATGTCAGTCTGGAGACTTGTGTGCCTGATACAGGCCATGGTCTTTGCATTTACTTACAATGCATCAGAAAGCTGGACAATGATTACGGATGATAGAAGGACAGTTGATGCCTTTGAGCTGTGGTGCTGGAAAAGAGTCTTGAATATATACCATGGACTGCTGGGAGAACAAACAAGTTTGTCCTGGAGAGGGTGAAGCCAGGCTACTCCTTGGAGACAAGGATTTTGAAGCTCCATTTGACATACTTTGGCCATGTTGCAAGGTGGGATCCTTGGAGAGGGACGTCATGCTTGGAAGGGTGGAAGGTCAGCGCGGGAGAGGAAGACCTTTGATGATGAGATGAATTGAGTCAGTCACTGGGGTAATGAGGATAGGCATGTTGGAGACAATAACATTGGCAAGGGATAGAGCAGGGTTTAGGGCTGTTGTACATAGGGTCACCATGAGTCGCAGGTGACTCATCAGCACATAACAACAACCACCACCACATTCTTACTGAGGTGAGATGATATCTCATAGTTGTTTTGATTTGCATCTCTCTTAGAGCTAGGGATTTTAAACATTTCTTCATGTGTTTGTTCGACATCTGAATGTCTTCTTGGGGAAGTGTCTGTTCATATCCTGTGCCCATTTTGCAATTGGGTTGTTTACCTTTATCTTGTTGGTGGAGCTCGAATATTCTATAAATTCTAGATGTAAGTTCCTATCATTACCAAATACTTTTTCGCAGTCTGTGGCTTCCCTTTTTACCCTGTTGGAGGAGGTTTTGGATGTGCATAGGGATTTGATTCTTAGAAGGTCCCGTTCATCTATTTTATCCTTTCCTGGTTGTAGATTTTTCAAGATGCTTGGAAGACTGTTCATGTTGTGGATTAGTACTTCTAGAGTTCTTCCAAGCTTTTTTCTCATGATGTTTGTAGTCCTTGGTTTTAGTACTAGGCTCATGATCCACTTTGAGTTGGTTTTTCTTTACGTAGTGTGGTGTGGATCTTGCTTGAGTTTTCTGCAGATAGTTTTCCAATTTTACCAACACCATTTGTTAAAAAGGCTGTTGTTTCTCCATTTAACTGATTTTATCTTCTTGTAAAAAATCAGTTGACCATACATAGGTAGGCTGATTTCTGGGTTCTCTATTCCATTGATCTATGTGTCTGTCGTTGTACCAGTACAGTGGTGGGAATTTTTGTCTTCTGGATGTTGAGATGCAATCAATTTTGAAGGCTGTAGTCTTTGATCCTCTGCAGTGTTTCAAGTCCTCACTTTCAGCAAGCAAGGCTGTGTCGTTTCATGATGCACATTGTTGATGAGTCTTCCTCCAATCTTAATGCCACATTCTCTCTTTTTTTCTTTTTGTTTATTCTGACACATTTTCTTCCCTCTCTCCCCTCCCCTAGTCCACTTTGCAGTACATGCCATATTCTTCACATAGAGCCCAACTTCTTGAATGTTTTGCCCAGCATACAAATTGAATATGTCTGGAAAAGGATGCACACATTTTCTGATTTTAAATCATGCAGTGTTCTCTTGCTCTGGTTGTTCAGCAGCTTCTTTGTCTAGGTATAGGTTTTGTATGACCACAATTAAGTGTTCTGGAATTCCCATTCTTCTCAATGTTAGCCGTAGTCTGTTAGGATCCACATAGTCAGTGCCTCTTCTGGTATTATGTGCATTCAGACAGGATCCATCTGGCATCAGCAGTGATATCCCTGGTGCCATGGCCTTTTCTAAGCCTAGCTTGAACTTTTGATAGTTCTCTGTCAATGAATTGTTCTATCCGTTTTTAAATTATTTTCAGCAATATTTTGCTTGTGTGTGATACTAATGATATTATTCAATATATCCACTTAGTGTTATATCACCATTCTTGGGAATGGGAACAAATATGGATCTTTTTCCAAGCAGTCGGCCAGACAGTTATCCTTTAAATTTGCTGGCGTAGTCAGATGAGCACGTCCAGTGCTGCATCAGTTAGTTGAAACTTGTCAGTTGGTGTTTGTTGATTCCTGGGCTCTTACTTTTTGCCAATACCTTTATTGTAGCTTGATCTTCCTTCCATACCGCTAGTTCTAGTTCATATCCTGAAATTTCTAGGTATGAAACAGTTCTTTTTGGTGCAGTGATTGTGTACCAGTAATCTTCTTTTTATGTTTCTTGGATCATTTATGATTTTAAAGCCTATAGATCAACTGCTTTTACACTATGATCAAAATATTAGGAAATTTGATAATTTGATATTGAAGCCATGATTTTGAAAGCTCTGGTTTAAATACTAGATAAAGGATGTGCCATTTTTCATATTCATAGCAGATTTTATACTTTTTTCCATGTGTTGGTAAAAAGAATCCATTTAATGAGGAATTAAGTCTGATCAGCTTCAGAGCTATACAGTTTGAAAAATCACATGTTGCAATGGGTGGGGGGGTAGAGTGGGCGGGGAGAAAAGTGCAACAATGAATGAATGGAATTCCAAAATCTCTGTTGATGTTCATTGAAATTTAAAAAAAAAATCACATGTTGCTACATATGTTTATTTCCATTGTTTAGTATATCCTTTTTTTCAGTTGGTTTTTTTATAGCATATCCTTTTTCTGTGAAAAAGTTGTATGACTTTTGAAAATTGAAATCTTTAATATACAAACTACTCATCTTTTTTGACATTGAGGTCCAAAACGGAAGCTGTAAACATTTAAAAAGAATTTACTTTGTTTGTTTGTTTGACAGAGCAAGGAGTGGTTTATTCTCCCAGCTGAGCACAGGATGGGCCCACAGCCTTGGGAGCAGCACAGGCAGCCCCCTCCCAGGCTCAGCTCCCCTTCTCAGTGTGGCAGCTGCTGGTGGACAGGGTTGGGAGCCAGGGGAGCAGACAGGGTGACAATCATCCTGTCACGGGAGCTGGCTGGCCACAGAGCAGCAACAGCGGGCAGCAGTAACAGCAGCAGGCTACAGAGGGGGCAAGGAGTGTTAGTCCACCTGGCTGCCTTCCGCTCCCCCCGTGGATGGTGCCCAGTAAGATCTGAGGGGCCTGGGCTGGGAGGTGGGTGCTGGGTGCAGCTCAGTCAGCTGTGAAAACGCGGCTGAAAATGTCCTCCAGGAGCCAGTCGATGCCGAGCAACAGGTTCTCCCTGCAGTTCCAGATGCACCAGTGGTGTCTGTGGATCGAGTCCAGCTCCAGGGCCTCCCGAATGGCATTCGAGGGCAATGCCCCAGGCACTTCCTGCTTTTTGGCAAAGATAAGGAGGGTCGCTCTGGAACTCACACTGGTAGTCCTACATGAGCTGGCGGTCGGTGCTGTCCACCACCCAGATGAGGCCATCGTATTCTCAAAGTAGATACACCAACAGGACTGCCGGGACTTCTAGCCGCCCACATCCCAGATGTTCAGCTTGAATCTTTGGTGCGCCAGCGTCTTGATGTTGAAGCCCAGTGTTGGGAAGATGGTGTCAATGTCTTCTTCATTGAATTTCTTGAGGATGGTTGTTTTACCAGCGTTGTCCAGGCCGAGCATGAGCAGTCGCAGATCTCACTCTTTCTCCTTCATCTTGAGGATGGTCAGAAGACCCCTGGTCCCACTAGCCCCTTCTCGGCCGCCATTTCTTTCTCTAAAAATAATTTCCTTTTTAAAAATTGTGTAAATGATCTATAATCATAACAAGATATACATAGAAATAAAGTAAAAATTAAAATAGAAATTATTTTTTTATATATGGATAAATCTGTTTTGCAAACAGTGCAGCCAAGGTATTCCTTGAAGGCAAGGATGGTGAAACAGTGTTTCATATACTTTGGCCAAGTTGGTAGGGGGGATCCTTCCTGGAAAAAGACAACATACTTGGAAGGTCAGAGAAGGATTAGGTGATCTTCAGTGATATGAATTCAAACAGTTGCTGCAGCTGTGGCCTTGAGCATGGCTGAGATGGTGAGGAAGGCACAGGATAATGTAATGTGTTGATCTGATGTCTGTAGGGTCACTATGAACTGTGGTTAATGAATTTCACACTGCAACAATGAACACGGAGAAGTACTTAACCCTTCTGTTGGGTTGGCCTGAGTTAGATACCATGAAGAGCATTTTTATAGTTCTTATTTATAACTGTTCTTACCCATATGAATTTGAGGAAGTGACGTAAAATTGCCTGCACTCGGAGAACAGTTATTATTAGTTCATAGCTATATCTTTTACCCACTACTATTTTCTACGTGAATTTAGATTTAATGTAGAATTATGAAAGAACTGGAAAATTAAGTTCTATTTCCTGTTGAGTTTTTTCTGACTGGGTGGTTTAATTTGTGCCAAGAGTAGCACTGTGCTCTGTAGTGATTTTGGAGGAGTAGATTGCCAGGCTTCAGAACATGTGTGAGTGGTCTTAAACCTCCCACCCTTTGGTTAGCAGCTTACTGCATTAACTGTACTACCCAAGGACTCCAGGAAATGTAGACTTTAAAAAGAAGCTATTCTATATTAGAATGAAAAAAAGGAAATCTAGTTTATATATTCCAAATTAACATTTATTAATTAATCTCATTTTTTTAGGATGGGACTCTTAATTGATGAACACAAAAATAATCTAGTCAGAAAGTATTCTGCTAGTGCAGTCTGTAGTGGTTTGTACTGATAAAGGCTACACCTCTCCAGCACTTTGAACTCCCTACCTGTTCCATGGGATGGAGTTGAGCAGTCTTCTCCCTTAAGATTTATAGCCTCAAAAACCCAATGGAGAACCGCTATGAGTCAAAACCGTTTGAGGGCAGGGAATGAGTTAAGAGGTGTTAGAAAGCATATCTAAAAATTGAGAGTACTGCATGCAGGGAAATTGTTACACCTTGGAAGCTCCCTTTAGAGTATAGAACATCAAGTGTTGTGTTTTCATTTTTAGGCTTCATGTGTCCAGTACCGTCTAGTGGTCCGAGACGTGAACACTCTACAGATCCTTCAGTTGTACACATGCCTGGACCAGATCCAGCACATAGAGTGGTCAGCAGACTCCCTCTTCATTCTGTGCGCCATGTACAAACGCGGCCTTGTGCAGGTCAGTGTTTGCAGCCTTTCAAGAATGTCACTTGAGGGTAGGGGTGAAAGAATGGCTTGTTCTGTACCCTTCCCCTTTATTTTAGAAAAGAGAATGCAAAACAAAGCCAGCTTCTTGGAAAATTTGGTAGATTTAAGAACTAATAACTAAGTACTTTTTCAGTAAGGAAACTTCAGTATTTGGCAGTGACTGTAACATTAGTATATTTGCAGATAGTTTTGTAGTAACTTGTACATTATATGTTTTAGGAAGTATTAAGATTAAGAGTTTTGTAATGGACCTGAAGTATACTAAATGACATCTCAGGGATTACAGTTTATAAACTGTTTAAACACAATAGTAACAACAGAATGAAATCTTGTTCTAATTAGTACAAAACTTGTCTGTCAGTTTGCTGTAAGGAGATAACTTGTGAGTTGCTGTGATGCTGAAAGCTATGCTACTGGTGTGTCAAATGTCACAAGAGTTATCAGTGGTGAAGAGGGTTTTAGAGTTTACAGATTAAGGCAGACTAGGAAGCAGGATTGTCCATCCACTTCTTAAATAGCAGGCCTCTGAAAAACCTATAAACAGTAGAATAATACAGATAGTTGTAATATTAGAGGTAGAGTCCAGACTGGAAGTTAGTAAAACTAAGGAAAAATATTGGCAAACATCATTTAAAGGTGGTGGGTTGGTGAAACAGGAAGACCCTCAACCAGGTAGATTAACAAATGGGCTCTAGTGTGTCAGGAAGTGTGAGGATGGCACAGGATAGGAGAGGGTTGAGACCTGTTGTTCATAGGATCTCTGTAAGTCATATTCGACTCGACGGCACTTAACAACAACAGCCACTTGCTTTTTTGTGGCAGAATCTTGCTCATGTCTTTCATAAGGAAAAAATTGTAAAGATACCCTGTGCTTTGACTAGATGCAGTTGGCATTCATTGAGTTCTTTACAACTGTGCATCGCCTCTTGGGAGAAGAGTTGCTCTGGTGTACAGTTGGTTTGCAATCCTGTATTTCTCCTGCATGAGTCTAGGTTTGGTCTTTGGAACAGCCCGATTGGCACTGCAAGATAGACGAGGGCTCCGCAGGGCTGGTGGCTTCGTGCTGGAGCCCAGATGGACGCCACATCCTCAATACGACCGAGTTCCATGTAAGTGCAGCACCCTGATTCTGCTTCATTGTTCAGATGTGACTCTGCACATTACTCCTAAAATAGCTCATCTGTTTTCAAATGGGTGTACTTTGGAGTAGTGTGTATAATCTCCAGATCACTAAAGCCTTTAAGGGTAGATGTAGACTATTCTTGCCCAATTTTTGCTTTTTTAAAAAAACCCCTTGTTCTATTTTGGAAGATTTACACAGCAAATTAGGCTCCTTTTTGTAAAACATGGCCTGGTGGTATCAGCTGACTTTCTCTAATTTCATGAGCAGGAGGATCGGCATCGGCCCAACACTTATTCCTTGGAGGTAAAGGTCAGTCCTACGTCCGCTCTCCAGCCATTTTACCAAGTCCAGTACCAGCCATCCCTCCCAAGGGACTCTGGTTCTCTGCTGGGTTTGATAATTCTTTGTAATGACAACACAAAACTCAAAGTACTCCATGGTTATGAGTTTATTAGGGAAGTAACAGGTTACAAATCAGGATCACAGATGATTCAGAATAGTTCTTTGGTTAGACAGCCTCTTAGTCATGCTCTCAGGCAGACCTCTCTGTTCTCTGACCTCTTTAGTCATTTGGTGAGGTTTCCAAGTCCATGGTGAGAAAGACCATGTAAAAGTGATCCATTGCACCACATTATTTAACAATTTCTAGACAGTTTATTCAGGGAGTACTGCTGCCAATCCCAAAGCACCTGGTTCGAATCCACCACCTGTTCTGTGGGAGTAAGATGGGCAATTTCTTCCCGGGTGAAAAAACCACTGGAGGGTCGGTCAGCTATGAGTCTGTTCCAACTTGATGGGAAATAACAATAGCACAATGACACAGTGCAGCTCAGGAAGAATATCATCATGTCTCCTGAGAAGTCTTTCGAGGAGTGTTTGGACCAGTGACTCTGGAAAGTGCTCTTTGTGTTTCCAGCCATTTTTGAACACGTGTCACTGATGAGTGTTCCTCTGAAAAAGGTAGATGTCTACGTTACTACTATTAGTAGACTGTTCACTGAGGAACTGAACTGGCTATGTATGCCTACTGTAGTTTTCCCATCTGATCGTCAGCATAGCTGGGAAAAGTCAGGATTTTGTTTCACAAATGAAGACACTTGAATTTCATAATCAGGTCCCTTGACTGAACACTTTCTAGCAGGAAGCATTACAGCTGGGACTCCAGTACCAGACCTGCTGGTTGGAAATCTGCTGTGCTTTCTCATTTTATACCCTAATATTCTGGTTGAGTTTGCTGTGCAAGGGCCTCAGGTACAAGAGGTGTTTAGGGGAAGGAAATAATTTCCAACAGCCAGTTGTGCCCTGGTCTGCCCAGTTAGCGTAGGCTAACTTAAATGCGCTGGCACGTGCTTACCTGGGCTCCTAGCACAGATATGCCCCGCACTCTGCAACACTCCCGAAAGCGCATGTGCTACTTCAGGAGGGATTAATAGGACTTCTCCCTGAGTTGCATTAGGCTTTCTTTTCTAAAAAGAGAGATGCTGTGGGGAAAAGGTATTTATTCACTTTTAGCCCTGTAACTGGCCTGTCTTGAAGGAGTCACATTTGGAAGAGAAACATGGAGCTCTGGATTTTACTTCAAAGGCGTCTCGCAAGTTGTTTAAAGCTACATTTACCTGATTGAGAGCAATGTCTAGCCCATAATCCTCCCAGAATGTGCCTCATTGAACTCTAGATTTATCTATGTTCATTATTTCGCTGGGAATTTGAGCTACACTTGCTAAAACTATCAGGTCGTCTTGGTAGTTCTTTGTGGAGGTGTGCTGGCTAGCCTTTCTCCCTCTGCATCGGCAGAGTTGTGGGAACCTGGAAATCAGTGACCTGCCACAGTAACCTGAGCCCTTCCTGCGGGGGCCCAGGAGGCCGAGCACAACTTCACTTGTGAAGCTGAGCCCCAGTCTGAGCCATGGTGCCCTTCACGGCTGTCATGTGTTCTGAACTTTGTGTATGTCATCTTCTGACTAATAATCTCCTCTCAGGCTTACTAGAGTATGCAAAACTGACTTTAAATAGCTTAATCAAGATGCATTTATATTAATTCCTTATATAATAATATGTTATGAATAGTAATAGTTATGAAATGGAAACAAAATACCAGAAACATTAAAATTTATTTCAACAGTAGTGAAGTTAGTTTGGATACTTCTCACTGAGGCAAACATCCATGAAACCGTTTTTCACTTTAGCTTTAAATCTCTCTTAGGTTCTGCGGTTTTGAGCTGGGCTTTCTAAAACTGCTAAGTATATGCTTTTGCCCTTTTCTCCCCTCAACAGCTGCGGATAACTGTCTGGTCCTTGTGTACAAAATCGGTATCTTATATCAAATATCCTAAGGCCTGTCAGCAGGGTGAGTACATTACACCTCTTCGAACCCTCTTTGTACCTTTTAAATAACATTTTTATCTTTGAAATGTTAAAATAGGCAAAGATAACTTCTAAAGTTGATCAATTTATGACCATTCTCCCCCCAATGCTATCACACCCCTTGGATTAAGCATTCCTCATTACCTCCCCTACAAAAAAACAACACCCAAGTCGGTTGCCGTGGAGTGCACAGTGATCTGGTGAGACAGAGGCCCTGCCGCACCTGGTTTCCGAGGCTGTATGCTTCATGAAGGCCCAGTAGCGGGTCTTCCTCCTGCAGAATGCCTGGAGGGTCTGAACCTAGCAGCTGAGCCCTTACCCAGTACCCTGTCCAAGGTCCTTCAGTACACCCCGCACCGCTGATGACTTTGTCCAGAAGTAGCTTTTTTTTTTTCCCCCAGAAGTAGCTTTTATATTTCCAAATGAGAAAGATTTCCATTTAAAACATCATCACAATGACTGGCAGGGTATTTTGTCAGTGGCATAAAAAAAAAAAATGGCGTTTGGATGAAATTCTGTTTACATTAGTTGCAGAATTGAGTGTTCATGTCCCTTTCTGCCTTTCTGTTTTTTTTTTTTTTAAATTTCACTTTTTAAAAATTGATTTTGAGCCATCATTCATACACACTATATTTTATGTAATTAGTTACTATTGGTCAGTGCCCTTTATCTCCATCGCACCTTGCCTGTTCATTCAGCCCCCCATTTATCCACTGATACCTGCTAACTTAGTGACTTTTCCCCTCTTCCTCTTCTCCAGTCCCCCCTCTCTCTTTCCTCTTCCCCTTGAACAATACTTATCCTGTTCCCATCTGCGAATTGTAAGGAGCTCTCCTGACTTAGTGATAAGGAGTTGTGCTACCAACCTGAAGGCATGTGGTTAGAATCCACTAGCTGCTCTGTGAGAGAAAGATAAGCAGTCTCTTCCTGTGCAGTTTACAGCTTCTGAGGGGAACACCCACTAGAGGTTCAGAGCTGTGTGAAGTCAGTTCAACTTGACAGTACATAACAACAGCATTTGCTAATTGCAGTAGCCATATTGTCCTTTTATCAGTTCGTCCCAGGTTGACCTTCACTTATCCTGATCCTTTACAGTGCTCATTTACATATGTTCTATTTCTGCTTTCCCAGTTCTCCCTGCTCTCTAGTTACCCTCCTGTTTTCACAGTAATGATCTTAGTCACTGTTTTTCCTTTTATGACTGAGTTGGTTCACTCAGCATAGTGGCCTCTACACTCTCCCATGTTGTATAGTATTTTATTAATTCATTGTTTCTCAGGGCTATGTGTTGTTGTTATGTGCCATTGAGTCGCTTGCAACTCATAGTGACCCTATGTACAATAGCTGTAAACCCTGCTCTATCTTGTGCCAATTGCACTGCCTCTGACACACCCATCCCAATTACCCTAGTCACTGAATCAGTCTACCTCATAGAGGGCCTTCCCCTCCTGCGCTGTCCCTCCACCCTCCCAAGCATGATGTCCCTCTTCAAGGACCTGTCCCTCCTTACAAGATGTCCAAAGTATGTCAGATGAAGCCCCAGAATCCTTGTCTTCAAGGAGTAGCCTGGTTTAACCCTCTCCAGGATGAATTTGTTTTCTTGGCAGTCCATGGTACATTCAGTACTCTTTTCCAGCACCACAGCTCAAAGGCATTAATTTTCCTATCATCCCTAGTCATTGTCCAACTCTCTGATGTATAACAAGTGATTACAAAGACCATGGCCTGTATCAGACACACCTTAGTCTCCAGAGACACTCCGTTGCTCTTGAGTCCTTTAGAGAGGTCCCTAACAGCAAACTTTCCCATCGCAATACGTTTTTTGATTTCCTGGC